TAGTGTGTGTGTATGTGTGTGTGTGTGTGTGTGTGCACTTGTTCAACAGATGTTTATGGAGTATGGAATTCATTATGAACAGAATGCTCATAGTTGTGAGCGCATGACGATTTTTATGCAGTTGCTAGGGTAGTCTGGGTGGTTGCTAGGTGTTTTCATCACATTTGTCATTAGAGTGATTGCTTTAGATTTAAATGCATTTATTCATTTAGCAGACACTTATCAAAAGTGACACAATTGAGGAAAACAACAAGCGATTCAAATAAACACAGGAAGTGCTTGCCTGAGAAACCACTGTGACGTGTGGAAGGGCTTTTCTCCTGTAAGGTCACCGGAGGTCATACGGCATAGAGTGCAGAATGATCAAATGAATGTAGAGTAGCTCTGATCTTAAGATGAGACATGTTTGAGTTCATATCGAGTGTTCTGAGTGAGTATCTTAGCAAATCTGTGCAGTCGATGACATTGTTGAGATCTCTTCTGAATCTCCACATGTCTGATCACTGCAGGAGAAACATCCGAGAAGCATTTCATCTTATCCTCCTCATTTAATTACATGCAGTCTAGGAGAAACAACTGAGATATCAAAGAGATCTTACAGGAAGTGCTTGTGGCTACAGTGAGCTACAGGACGCTTCTTTTCCTCGCTACAAACAGCATTATCAGTAAGATGTGCACTCAAGTTTAAATAAATAATAAAAAATATGTAGATGTACACAAACATTTAATTTTAATTTATTTATTCTTTTATGTAATATTTATATTAGATTAGTAGAAATAAAATAGCTAAATGAAAATGATAAAGTGCTAAAAGTTTTTAACTAATTTACTAACACTAAAACTGAAATAAAATAATGCTATATTGAAAAAAAAAAACATAAAAATGACAAACAAAATTAGATATTTTGCCTGGGCAACTAACTTAAATAAATTTAAACTGAAGTGCTAAAATTACTATTAAAACTGATATAAAAATGTAGAAATATATATTAAAATCAAAACTATAAAAATTGCAAAAGCACATAACAAAATTATTAAAACTATACCGAAAAGCTAAAACGACTAAAAGCTAAATACAAATATTAAGAAATAATAAAAATGATTAAACTATACACTAAACTAATAAAAAGTTAAATTACTAAAATTAACTAAAAATTACTAAAACTTAAAATTGTTTCCAATAATTGAAATTAGCCTAAAATAAAAGATAAATATTACATGAAAAACATCAACTTAAAAAAACTTTACAATTTTTTTGAAATTTTGCGAATATTTTAAAACAATGGTATTGAAATTAAGCTCAAATTAAATATACCGAAAAACAAACTTAAAAACGTTTGCCTGGCAACTAACTAAAATAAAATAAAGTGAAATATAATATTAATAATACAATTATAAAAACCTAATAAAAATAGCAAAACCACATAACAAAATATCCATTTGCATCTATAGCATCTGAAAAAGGTGTAAATGTAGATGTAACTGCGTATGTTTCTTGAATCATTCTCTGCTCATTGTTCATAAACACATTTTGTTGTGTGTTTGTGAGTGAGACGAAGGATGCTTTGGGGCAGTTTCCTCTCTCTCTCTCTCTCTGTTTACACTCACGCTCACTGACTCACACACACACACACACACACACACACACACACACACACACACACACACACACACACACACACACAAAATCACTCACACACACACAGGTTTACTTTTGTGAAAAGTGGGGACTCTCCATAGGTGTAATGGTTTTTATACT